CAGTCGTGACTGACTCTGGGGTTGCGGCGCTCATCTTGCTTTATTGGCCGAGGGAGCCGGCGTACAGCTTCTGGGTCACGTGGCCAGCATGCTCATTCTGGCAAACCAGAGCAGTACACGGAAAAGCCGTTTACCTTCCCGCCGGAGTGGTACCTCTTTATCTACTTGCACTTTGACTTGCTTTCGAACGGCTAGGTTGGTAGGAGCTGGGACCAAACAACAGGAGCTCACCCCGTCGCGGGGATTCAAACTGCCGACCTTCTGATCGGCAAGCCCTAGGTTCTGTGGTTTGACCCACAGCACCACCCGTGTCCCAATGTAATAATAATATAATATAATATAATATAATATAATATAATATACCTCGCTCCAGCTCTCCCTTCTTTCCACTGCTGCCTTTCGTGACCCATTGCCTTCCCCAACTCTACTCTCCCCGCCTCCTTTCACAATGACTCGTCCAGATTGGCGTAGGTGGCTTGCCATTCCCGTGAGTTCCCTCTCCCCTCTCTTCCCGCTTGCCTCGCCCACCCCTATCCCTATCCCTAACCCTGGCCAGTGCAATAAAATTCATTGGATCGCAGTCAAGGCTTGGCTAAGGTCAGCTGCTACTCTTTGGAACAGGGAGCAGAGCTTACACAATACAGAAATTAAACCAACAGACTACGGAAGATGTCTTAAATGAATTTCTCAGTTTATTGATATACAAAGCATAGGAGAACGAAATGATGTGAAGTGAGCTTATGAATGATAGCGCATAAATGCGGGAAATGGAGCATAGAAAATGGAATACATAGAACTGGCATAACCAAACAGTATTGTTGAATATTAGAACTGATATGGTTAATAGGTAGTCATGACAAAGCAAACAGACTCAAAAACCTAACTCCTCTCTCCCTCCAGCCTATCTGGTTGTGAGATAAATATAAGTTCCCAAAAAACAAAATTATTAAAAGATAATAGTATACAAAATAAGGGCAGTAGACCAGGACTCATTGTAATCATGGGCAAAGCAAGGTAGCAAAACATTTCTTCCCATCTTCCTGTTCATGTCAACAGGACTTCCTAAAACCAGGGCTAAGAGTGAACATAATCTCTGTCAGAGATGGAGAATAAGCAACATGGATGAGTAGCTGTGTTTCCTTTATGCACTTCTGGACATAGGGAACATGGACTATTTTAAGAATCAGGTGTTCCCTTAATTTCTGGTTGTCAGGTGCTCCTTTGTGTTCAGATCAGGCCTCAGCACAATAATGTAGCACTTGGGAAGGAAGATGCAGCCCAGAAGCCCAGCACTGGAGGCCAACATAGAGAAGATCTGCACAGCCACCATGTACTTGCCCTTGGTGCTCAGGTAGGTGGGCACAAAAGACCCAAACACTGCAGAAGACCAGCATGCTGAAGGTGATCAGCTTGGCTTCGTTGAAGGAGCCGGGCAGCTTCCTGGCTAGGAAAGCCACCGTGAAGCAGGTGGCAGCCAAGAAGCCCAGGTAGCCGAGGGCAACGTAGAACATGGCCACAGACCCTTCGTTGCATTGCAGGATGATCTCTTCCACCTGGGAGTGCATGTCGGGCTCTGGGAATGGGGGAGAAGAGCCCAGCCAGATGGTGCAGATGAGAACTTGCCCCCCAGAACAGGAGATGACAATGGAGTTGGCCAGACTCTTGCCCAGCCATCTCCTCACCCTGTTCCCGGGCTTTGTGGCCAGGAAGGCCAGCACCACCATAATGGTCTTTGCCAAGACAGAAGAAACAGCAGCTGAGAAGATGATGCTGAAGGCCGTTTGTCGGAGAAGGCAGGTCTCTTTCCTTGGGCGCCCGATGAAGAGGAAGGAGGACCAAAAGGAAAGCAGGAGGGAGACGAGCAGGATGTAGGAGAGATCCCGGTTGTTGGCTTTGACTATGGGAGTTTCCTTGTATTTAATGAAGATTCCCAACACAATGCCTGCTGTTAAGGACAAGAAGAGGGCAATGGAAGCTAAAACCATTCCCAAATATTCTCCATAAGTCAGGAAGGTGGTGATCTTGGGGACACAATGATCTCTGTCCTTGTTTGAATGGTGATCTTCTGGGCATTTGGTGCAATGTTCTGCATCTGGGGAAGAGAAAAAGAGTGGCTGCAGCATCAGTTACATCCCTAATGATCTGTGCTCTATTACGTTTTGAAGAAATCCTAGAGATTTCTTCCTTATGATCATTCCTTTCAACTCTCTACCAGGATGTAATGAAGGGGATTAATACTAAGGAAGTTGAGGAAGGAGCCACATTCCACGTCTGCAGAATTCTCACAAAAAGTGTTTGAGACTGGATTACTGCCCTGTGTTTACTCTCTCCAGAAATACCTTCCCCCTTGGAGTCACCCACCTTCCTGGGCGGAGAAGGTCCCTTCCGCACACCGAGCACAAGCATAGCAGCAAACCGGCTTTCCTTCTAGAACCAGCTTGGCATATCCAGGTCGACATCTTTCTGTACACCTGGAACGAGGTACATTCTAACCAGAAAGACAAGAAGGTGCAAGAAAGAGGAACAGTTAGGAGTATTTGTGGGTATGCAATTCACTCATAGGGCTGCGGGTGGCGCTGTGGGTTAAACCACAGAGCCTAGGACTTGCTGATCAGAAGGTCGGACGTTTGAATCCCCATGACGGGGTGAGCTCCCGTTGCTCGGTCCCAGCTCCTGCCAACCTAGCAGTTCAAAAGCACGTCAAAAGTTCAAGTAGATAAATAGGTACCGCTCTGGCGGGAAGGTAAACGGTGTTTCTGTACGCTGCTCTGGTTCGCCAGAAGCAGCTTAGTCATGCTGGCCACATGACCCAGAAGCTGTACGCTGGCTCCCTCGGCCAATAAAGCGAGATGAGCACCGCAACCCCAGAGTCGGCCACAACTGGACCTAATGATCAGGGTCCCGTTACCTTTACCTTAATTCACTCATAGAGTGAATTGAAACGGATCTCTGGACTGCAGCCTTTGACCCCCCTCATCAGGGTCCTTTCAACCCCCCACTGACCATTGGGGTGACCAGAATATCTTGTTCTTCATAATTAGTTCAGGACAACTGAGGTTTGTGCCACAGAACTCTGTTTCCTCTCCTCCATTTACCTGCTTGCCTGCTTAATAAATCTTCAAAGAAAATGGCAATGGAGTCTGAAATGTGATTTCCCCAAAGTTCAGGATTCTGATAATCTCTCAATCACTAATTAAGACAAATTTAATATGACTTTTCCAAATATTGGTTTCCCTCACTCTGTTCTTGAGGCATGCAAGGTTTCCTCTTATTGCTGATGAATGTCCTAGTTATTTCTAGTTCATATGCCATTCCTTAACATTAACCTTATATTACAATAGGGTTTTTTTTTTAACTTCTCATCCTTCACCAACAGCTGTGCACTTCTCAATTCCTGCATGTACAATAGTTTAACATTTGCAACATCTAGAAGTGAACTGACTACACAAATCCACAATAAATCAGTAATTATCATTTCTAAAATAAATTACTTTCCATCCTTCTGTATGTATGAAAGCTCAATAGTTCACTTTTACTAGGGGCTTTCCCTTTTCTTCTTATCTACGTAGTCCTTTCTGTTGAAGATTCTGGTGTCTTCTCTGAGGACCTCTGGGCTCCATCCTTTCTTTGAGCACCCCAAATTCCCCTCCTACCTCAGCTGCTGTGGAAAGTAGGAATTGTGGTTGCAGCTGTTATTGACGGTCAAGACACCATTGGTCAAACTGATATGGTTATTTTTCAGCGGTTGTTTAAGGAAAAACATAATAAGGATCTCCTCGTCTTCTCCCTCTGTGATTTACCCTACCTTTTTGAATTTCTTGGGCCACTCAATGGCTTCTGGGTTAATGGTGAACTTTATGCCAGCAGACGTCTCTCTCCTTATATTCCCAATTTTCACAAGGTCACGTGACTTATTGGGATAGATCACCCAGTTCATAATATTGAAGTCCGCTGGCAGCTCCCAGTTCTCATCCAAGCACAGGCTGCCTCTGGAAGTATTCAGACACCGGATTTCTCTTAAGAAAGGGTGAAGCTGGAATGGCAGGGGAAAACACCAGCGTTAAGAAACCTGGAAGCCAAGATGGATATCTCAGTCCTACTCACTTCAGCCTCTTATGATTTGGGGCCTGTGTGTATCTCATGTAGACTAGAATTCCTATTCAGCCATTTCTATTACAGTGGTACCTCGGGTTACATATGCTTCAGCTTACAGATGCTTCAGGTTACACACAACCCAGAAATAGTGCTTCAGGTTAAGAACATTGCTTCAGGATAAGAACAGAAATCGGGCTCCGGCAGCACAGCAGCAGCAGGAAGCCCCATTAGCTAAAGTGGTGCTTCAGGTTAAGAACAGTTTCAGGTTAAGATCAGAGCTCTGGAACGAATTAAGTACTTAACCCGAGGTACTACTATACTGCAGACCCTGCAAGTGCCCCAATTTTCGAGGGATGTCCCTGAATTAGAGACAGTTTTTCATTTGATCCCAGAATTTCCCACTTTTCCTTAGAATGTCCCTATTTTCATTGGAGAAATGTTGGCAGATGTGGAATTTCTTTATGTTGGGAGCTGCCCAGAGTGCTGAGGCAACCCAAGATGATGTGTGGTGTATAAACAGTGCTATTTTTCTAGAAAATAAGGTGCCTGAACTCACCATGAACACCTCCCTGTGATAATGGCAATAGCACCCACCTGAGAGGTGCCAAAATTGAGTTCCAGTGAGTTCTCCCTGAAAAAAAGCCCTGGCTATAAACAGAAAGATTATCAGTATGGAATGGGATGTTTCTATTTGCATCAGAGAAATGTTGGGCGGTAAGCTACTATTACTAATACTAATAGTAACTATGATATCTTACAGGCCTATCCCCAGTCAAGATCAGCATCTGTGTGGAGTGCAGTTTGCAAAAGGGGGGAGGAAATACCTGCCACGCCTGTAGCCTTTGGGGTCCCCATTGCTCTCCTTCCTCCACCATCAGCCTCCTCTGGGATCTCAATGAAAGCGAAGCATGCAAGGCCTGAGCCACAGCTTGAACATGGATGTAAGTGCCATAGCTGTCATAAGACAGGACTATCTCATGCTCCCCTTGGAGCAATGGCTGCAGTTTCTCCTCCTCTCTGCATCTTATCCTGCCTTTCACGGACAACAGATGCTTTGAATATGAACACTGAAATGCTTGATTCAAATAATCCCCAATATTGAACTGCAATTTGTCACCTTTGCTGCTCCTTATTCCAGTCTGAATTGCAAAGGACAGAGAACCATAGAGGTGCTGGAAGTGATGTCGAGGGGTGTAAATGCCAATTCTGATTTCTAGCAAAGCTGTTGTGATCCAGACTTTTGCTCCTATTTCCTTCTCATATACCATGTTTATTGCCATGAGTATTATGATACCTAGTGCATTGGTTATATGGGAAACAAATACCCCAACTTGTCTCCATAGGAAAAAAGGTTCCCCAGGCCTGATAAATTGATTTAGATCATTTTCTGGTACTCTTTTTGAGAAAGCAATGCAGATCCCTTTGCTGAGCATCAGAGGTTTCACAGCGCTCACAAATCTTTCTCCACTGTCATTGTCTGGAGTGAAGAGGCCAATCCACGTCCATCCAAAATACAGGAGCAATTCAACAATCCCCTGGTACTGACTTTCCTCTTTGGGAGTCATCCGGTAGACAAAAGGGAACAGGGTTTTACCTTCGAGAAACTGGACAGTAAAACCATGACAGATCTAGCAAGGAAAGCAAAAGACCAGCAATTTACTTTACTTTCATCATAACGGGTATGTAATCATCTGAAATGACTGATATCTAAATCTCTGCTGGCTGAGGCTGATGGGAGTTTTAGTCGGAAACATCTGGAGGTGCCAAGTTGGTGAAGGCTCAGTTTTGAAAAAGGGATGTTGAATCCATAGCTCAGGATTTTCCCATTTTTTAAAATATTCCCACTTGACCCCTCCCAAGAGAAGATAAAATTTTACGCAGTTGAAATCCTCTGTGCTTTCATGCTCTCCCACTACTTACCTGTGGGATTTTGTAGATGCCTGACAAGGCTGAAATCACTCTTGAGATGAAAGTGTTGCTTCTTTCAAGAACAGCCAGCAGGTGATTCTGTTCTCCACAGTGATAATTGGGAATATTGCATCCACTGCCTGCAAGCAGCTCTAGCATGGCATCCGAAGTCATCCTTGCATCGAAATAGTTCTCATAGATGTTGTAGCCCAGGGTGATGTTGGGTAAGAGCCTGAGATCCTGGTTGATCTCTTGGATGGTGAACAGGAAAGACAACATGTGCCAGTAGAACCTAGCTGCCTCCCTGCAATAAATGAATTCTTTAAAAAGAGTGAAACTGGCATTCATATGAATGGGGGTGGGGACATTATATGATCCACAAAGATTAATATTTGTTTGTTTCTTTGTTTTTCCATCCTTCTGCATTGACATCAAACCTTTTCCTGTCTAGCATAGAAGAAAAATTTGGAGATCTCTGCTCCATGACCAGAGCTTTGATGCAAACAGCAGACAGAGCTGTTCAACAGTGGAAGAGACTCCCTCCGAAGGTGACCATGTGTCATGGATGCTTCAGGTGAGATTCCTCCGGGTTCCTTCCATCTCTGCAATCTATGATTCTATTCTACTATGGTTTTATGAGTAAGAAATGAAGGCGCCCCTCAAAATGTGTGATATACTGGGAAGTTGCTGCAAGGGCTGCTTTTTTTGCAGTAGTCTTTGGCTTCTTCCAAGGGGCTAGACTATAGGTAGATAAGAGACATTTTTATTGAAGGAGGGGAAGCACCAAATACCTCAGTCCCCTTTGAGTTACATATGAGGCCTGGTGGCTTGCAGGTTTGAGTGTGTGGTAAAATTATAATTTTGTCCATATTCTGGATCAGAGACTACACCAATGAGGACACCCCCTGCTGTATAATTCCTTTTCGCATGTTACCAATATTACTCCACGAAGAAGGAAGTCTCCCCACTCAAATTACCATATTTTTTGCACCATAACACTCACTTTTTTCCTCCTAGAAAGTAAGGGGAAATGTCAGTGCGTGTTATGGAGCGAATGCCTGCGTGTGGCGGGGGAGGGTCTGCTGCAGTCGCGAGCAGAGGATCCATGGTTCCCCTTCCTTCCCTCCTCCGTGGCTCGCTTTGGGAGAAGAGCCGCTGAGTGGGGAGGAGAGGGGGCAGAGAGCCTGCTTGCTTTAAAGGAGCAAAGCTCCTTCTTTAAAGGTGGAAGCGGCTCCTGTCCGGTTGGTTCCTTTAAAGCAAGCAGGCTCTCTGCCCCTCTCTCCCACCCACTCAGCTCGCTACATAGCAGCAAAGCTTTCAGCTCGCTAAGCCAGGGATGAGCGGGGAGGAGGGAGAAAAGCAGAGCCTGCTTGCTTTAAAGGAGCAAAGCGGGAGAGGAGAGGAGCCTTCTCCCTCTTCTGCATTATTAACAGCATCCTTCTCCACACACCCCACGCGTTCTCCTTGTCCCTTGAGTGCTTTTCCTTCCCTCCCCACTTAAAACGTGGTTACAAAGCATGGATCCACATGCATCCTCAGGATTTTTGCACTGGGTCACCCCAAATTCACCATCAGATCACATAGCATGTCCATGGCTACATCTTGCACCCCAAAAATCACGCACCCACTGTTGCCTGGGGCCGCAGTGGTGCAAAAATGTGGTTACAAAGCATGTCTCCACATGGATCCTCAGGATTTTTGCATTGGGCTACTCCAAACTCACTGTCAGATCACAGATCTGTGGCCACAGGATGAACCACAAAAATCATACATCCACTGTTTCGTTTAGAATTTTTTTTTTTCTTGTTTTCCTCCTCTAAAAACTATGTGCGTGTTATGGTCGGGTGCGTGTTATAATATATATATGGTATTTCATTTATCATTTCAATTAAAGTACATCTTTTCTGCTCTTCAGCCATCAAACATCACCCAAAGGATCTTAATTTCCATTTGTAAAACTGTAGCATTCCTTAACAACAGAGTATGAATCGTCCAAATGGAATAATATTGAATAAAACCCTTGAGCCTTGGGAATTGCCTGAGTTTCATGGCATCCTGCAGGTGGGGAAATTCAGTGCATCCTTTTGATGCCTGACCAGATTCATTGGCATCCTTGCATTCTTCCAAAAGCAACACAGAATCAAAGGTTGGAGAGTGTTTTATTAAGGAAGACCCAGGGAACATGGAAATAGGAGAGGTTTGGGTGCAATCTTATACTAGACCCCCCCCCCCAGCTCCCAGCTTCTCCAACAGCAAGCCCAATGGTCAGGGCAGGATAGTCCTGCAACACCAGCCCTTGGCTCCCCAGCCCTGAGAAAGGGGCTATTTCCTTGATAAATAGGAACCACTAGAAGGACTGGAGGACCATGAAACCATCTGCATATAAGTACATACACTTCAGTCCTGGCGAAGGGTGTCTGAGAAAAGTTGTATGATGTTTCCTCAACAAAGCGTTTTGGAGAGATGATCCCACTGATGAGAAAGTGTCCAGGCCGGTAGTAATTGCGAGCATCCGTTTCATCCCTGACCAGATTCAAGGGGCATTTCGCCTTGTGGTTCCCGCAGACTCCAAAGGGCATCATGAGCAGCAGAAGCAGCAACAGAAGGAGCAGGGATCTCATTCTGGCTCTGCCTCCTCCTCCTCTTACCTGCCAAGGAGCTAAAGCAGAAGAACCCAAAGACTCTTGCAAGGCCAGACTGGGTGGGCTTTCCCAATCTGGGTGGTTTTCAACTCTACCTTCAGGGCTAGGAAGCACAAGGCAGGCACACCCCTCTTTCGCCAGCTCTACATCTTCACTCAGTCTGTCTCCATCACAGGAAATATTCTCTGCACCAACTTTTCCCCCCCAGACACAGTGCAATTAATATTGCCATGCTGCTGTTGCTTTCTGAGGCTCATGCAATCTACAGAAATATCTCCTGAGCTTTCAGAAGATGAGATGACTATAATTTTGATTATTCCAAGTGGAATAAGTTTCAGCACAATAACTTTCTGGAGTCTTGACTGGCTCAAGCGGCAGGTGCAGAGCTGGAGAAAAACATGGTGCACAGAAGTCAAGGGGTGTGTTTGGAAGTTGGAAGTTTGGCCTGAACTTTGCTCCCAAGGACCAAGGAAGGAGCTGGATCCGACCATGGACTCTCCTTCCTTGGAGGCTTTGAAGCAGAGGGTGGATGGCCATCTGTTGGGATTCTTTAGCTGAGATTCCTGCATTGCAGGGGGCTGGACTAGAGGACCTTGGGGTCCCTTTCCAAGTCTCCCATTCTATGATTCATTGGAGGTTTTTAAGAAGAGGTGGGAGAGTCAGGGATGGACAACAGCCAGATGTGGGAGTCCCAGCCTTGTATCCCAGGCATCCTAAGCCCTTTTAAAATGTGGGTTTTTTTGGGGAGGGCAGAGGCTGTTATTGGGTGGTTGTTTTTATTTTGATTATATATATTGTGGTTTTATATTTTGATTTTGCTCTCTGAACCGCCCTGAGACCTCCAGGCATAGGGCTTTATATAGAGTCAATAAGTAAATTTAAAAAAATAAAAAAATGGAGAATGCAGAGAAATGCCATCCTCAGTACTGTGAACGGGATACATGGCGGTGGGATTTTGTTTCCTGGCGGCTTCTAGAAACAGAGACTGGTGGAGCCTGCGATGGGGAGGATTTTCTCAAGCCCACTCTCTGGCCGCTATGGGTGGGTCTGGGCTGCTTGATTCCTGCCACTCTCTTCTCGTTCTCCGCCTGAAGGGAAGTAGCACCTTGGTGGCTTCAGAGCCACTTCAAGTGAATTTCCACCCCATCTTTGAAAGGCTTCTCCAACAGAGGGAAGCTCTCTGGGGTTGGTGGAGGGGAGAAAGGTTGCTCTGAGCCTTAAACCTTTTGCCCTTTGACATGTTTTGGGGAAGGTGAGCTTCTGTTGCACATGGCACCAACTTGCTCCCCGTCTTTGAGAAGAAACTTCTCTAGGTAAAGGTAAAGGTACCCCTGCCCGTACGGGCCAGTCTTGCCAGACTCTAGTGTTGTGCGCTCATCTCACTCTATAGGCCGGGAGCCAGTGCTGTCCGCAGACACTTCTGGGTCACGTGGCCAGCGTGACATCGCTGCTCTGGCAAGCCAGGGCAGCACACGGAACACCGTTTACCTTCCCGCTAGAAAGTGGTCCCTATTTATCTACTTGCACCCGAAGCTGCTTTCGAACTGCTAGGTTGGCAGGCGCTGGGACCGAACGACAGGAGCGCACCCCGCCGCAGGGATTCGAACCGCTGACCTTTCGATCGGCAAGTCCTAGGTGCTGAGGCTTTCACTTCTCTACTCATAAACAAATTGTCTGTGCACAAGCCAGGCTAGCATTCTAGCAGCTTTATTATTCTTTATCAATATTTGTTTGTTTGTTTGTTTGCTTGCTTGTTTGATCTGTTTCATAAAATCCATGCCCCACTTGATTGGGCAAATAACTCCCATCTCTAACCATGTAACTCCATTTAAGTCTCCCATTAGTATACAGTGGTACCTCTGGATGCGAACGGAATCCGTTCCGGAGCCCCCTTTGCATCCTGAAGCGAACGCAAACCACGTCTGCACGTGTGCTGGTCGCGATTTGCTGCTTCCACGCATGTGCGTGACATCATTTTGAGCCTTTGCGCATGTGCGAATGGCAAAACCCGGAAATAATGCTTTTTGTTACATCCGGGTTGCCGCGGAGCGCAACCTAAAAACTCTCAGTTTCCTTCTTATTGTAATATCTTTGACCCCCAGAAGGTCTCACTGTCTCTTTTCTCAGTTCTTTCTTTAGCTGTCCCTTCTTGCTCGCTTGCTTTCCTCCTTTCTTTCCTCCTCCTCCTTTGGGCGTGGGCAGCGTGAGCTAGCAGTTTTCCTACGCCATATTGTGGTTTGAGGGCCCGACCCCCGCGAAGTGAAATGAAGACACAAGGACACGTGATATAAGGTTAATGGGCTAGAAAAGGCCACAACTTTATTGATTACAGCAATGAAAAGGTATTGGCTTAGGCATTGGATCGAAACAAGTGGGTTTATTCACCAGGCGTTCATCACCTGTTGATGCTAATCCAACTATAGGCTCACCCCTGCTGTCACCGCGGGTCGTGCCATGGCCTCCCGCCAAGCAGGCATCGGACAGAATACACGACCGCCAGATTCCTTTAACGGAATACCCCTAAAAATTGAAGGCATAGGCGATGGCCACACCTAGCACTTCGACACACCACAACACATTATTCCAATGCCTAACCTACCCACCAATACCACAGAAAGTTGTGACGATTGCTACGAGGTAGGCGAAAAAACCAAAAAGCCTATTGCCAAATGGAAAAACTCCTACCAGGCCCCCCAGGCAACCAGGGCGACCAACCTAAGGTCCATAGCAAGGCCAATGACCTAAGCCCTAACTAAAAGGGAGTGGAGGGTGGGTGACTCGTGACGGGACGACGATGAGGAATGAGGCCAGGGAAAGGCTGGCACTGCAGCAAAAGGCTGCTGAACACGCCCCCACCACGGCACCTGGTTGGGTGGCCACCGGGGGGGGGGGCGTGAGTGCCAGCCAGGTGAGCGGGAGGCAGGGGGCAACG